CCTCCCCCCCCTCCATGTTCGGCGTTTGTTATGGAAACACAACCCGAATAACGCCTGTCAGGCCCCGATTCGGCCCCCGTGTGGGTCCAGGGCGTTTACCGCGCGGTCCGTTCAGGGGGCACAATAACTCATTAAACGAGGTTAAGAAAACAAAGGCATGAGCGACACCCGGAGAACAAATTTTTACTGCGCACACAGCAGAGACGACAGAAAGTAAGCAAGGATACGAAATCACACAGCCGGCTTCCGTGCCGCGTCAGACGAGGCAAGCAGCGGTCAGCACAGTCATTCGTGCTGAACAGAACACGCACACAAAGGGGGGGGAGCGACTGTTTTACGCAGCTGGGCTCAAAATGCGCAAAAGATAGAGAGAGCTTACCCTTAGAAAGACCTTGTTCTTTCCAACCGCATAGGACGTGTCGAAGCCAAAGGCTGTCCTGCAAATTAATTCAGCCATGTCGTTTAGCACTGCAGTTTGCCTCTGTGACAGTGGACAGGGTCTCAGGATGACGCGGAAGCGTTCAGTGAAGTCTGCAAATTTATAGCGAATGGGATAGCCCAGGCGACGAATCTGGATGGTCTCCATCATGCCTGAGTAACGCAGCTGTCGTACACAGAGCTCGCGATCAAAACAATTCGGCAGTTTCAGTTCGTTGGGCTTGATGCAACGAACGAAGAAGGGATGGCAGCCGTTGATGATCTGCAGCAGACGCTCCAGAGATCGCTTGAACTGCATACTCAGCGTCAATGAGCGTGAGCGTGATTCAGAACTCTAAATATTGCAAAATAAATAAAGAATTACGACACTTTTAAGGTGACAAAAACAAAATTAAAATGACTGAAATAAGCCGGCACATCTCATAACACTGCTGAATGTGGAGTGCCTTCGACAAAGCAAAGGGATATCGGAATGGCCATTTCTGACTTGTTAGCCGTCTTCAGTCAGGCTTACTCGAGATTCGAACCTGGGACCATTGGTCATTGAGTTTACCACTTTAAAATTGCACCACGGGCTCGTCGTTCTGTCGGTTGAGATCGGGGACATTACCAATATATGGGCATCACCCATCTGGCAGTGGAACAATTAAGTTCCGTTTCGCCCTGGAGCTCATAATTAGAGCCTGCACGCGCAGTCACATAGCCAGTAATGTGATAGGATTGAATGCACCCGACAAAGCAAAGGGAGACCGGAATGGCCATTTCTAACTCGTTAGCCGTCATCAGCCAGTCATAGCCAATCTCAAAAGTGTGCTGAATTATCTGTAATAAATACGATAAAATCTGCCTTGTTCCTCTTGACGCCAAAGTCCTCGGGGATATTTGCATCGCCAGTGGCCAAATTCCTGTAAGGTCTACTCTTATCTGGTGAAGTAGAAAGCGATAAAGGAGGTCCTTTATCTTATTTTTTCCAAAAACAAGTGGCTGAGTAGTCCACTAATAAAACATAAGCTTTGTTATTTTAACTGTCCAAGGTTCTGCTTGAAATTACACTTAGAGGCTAGGGTTTTGCGGGTATGCCCTTTTACTTAGTTCTCCCAAAGGTTTTCACGACGGGATTCGAAAGCTATGGAGAACAATCTGGAAATAATTTATAGAAATACAAAATGCAAGCAAAATAGGATAATACGCACCGAGCTCAAACGTTCTTCGAAAAGCTCCCGAAGGAACGAATTTTTGGAGGTTCCAATAACATCAAGAAGGTCGTGATTGAAAGTGTCCCTATTCTTTTCAAGGAAACCTTCCACTTCGTAAAATACTGGACCAGCAAAATGACGAATCCCGAAGCGCTAAAACGATAAGAAAAGAAAATGATCGGGTTAGAAATCCTTTTGATGGTGTAGTAGTGACGATCTCCGTGTAATTGCTTGGAAAAATAATTTGGCTTCTTTCAGGAAGCTATATTACTTCTAACGGCTATTAATATGAACGATAAATCTGACGTGGGCTTATGTCTACCAAGCCTGCACATTGCCAAGAATGCAAATAAATTAATTGAGAAGGCGAACGAACTGCGTGATCTACAAATCCAAAGCTGCAGAACTGCAATATTTTCCCCTTGGTCTTATATTTGAAAAGTGTAAAATTGCTCGATTATGAAGTTTAGACATTGCTTATTCGTTCACGAACACTGCGTCACTCATCTCTATCAGCACTGAGTTTTCGCCTGTCGATCGGCCTGCATTGATTGGGCATTAATTATCTTCAGCCAAGACATATGTAATCAAGCAGGCCTCAAAGGCAAGAATACTCTGCAAGATGCAGCAATATCTGATTGTAACCAGCAAAGGTTGGTTGAAAAATAGTGAAAAGAGTAAAAACCATCTAAGAAGGCCTGCGGTTGTATAGGGTGTCCCAGAAGTAACTGACCCTTTTGATTTGCTGATAAAACGAAAACTATTAACGCT